AGTAAATCATATACCAAAAATGATGAACGTGCATCCTGTTGCAAACTGTGCCTTTTGTATTTACATTGTGTTGCTCAAACATACTTAAGAATTGGAGTTTGCATCATGCTGTCACAGCACACATTTTTCTCTTTTTGATAAAACTTTAGTTTGCCACAAATGCCTAAGGAGCAGCATACATGGAATTGTCCACATTCTTTCTAGTGTTTATGCTATTTTTTTTTATGATTCTTACTAATATTTATAGAGCAAGTCACATTCTATGGTAGCATATTTAGTAGGCTTGTGCAGCAATCTCAATTTGAAAGGAAAAAAGTAATTTGAACGTCATGTGGGCACTTACATCAAACCTGTCAGTGACTACTTTAAAAAGCTGCATATTTTCATGGTATCCCAGGGAAACACATGTTTGCTTCAAGGAAGTACTATGAGGTGCACAGGGGATCTTCAAACTTTGGTCCGCTTCACTCTTTCTCCTTCAAATATGAATCACTGCACAGCCCTAATGTCTAGCTTCTTACTTTCCATAGAATACTGGCATAGGTTTGGTGGTACAGGTAGTCCTGGGTTAAGAATGCCCTATTTAAGGACAATCCATGTTTAAGAATGGAACCTACTGTAGCAAAATTCAAGTTAAATACACAATAGTTTGAATTAATTACACAATACTACTTATACAGTATTATACAATAATACTGTCCCAGCTTACATACAAATTCAACTTAAAGGACAGACCTTGGGAACAGAACTTGTTCATAAACTGGGGACTACCTGTAGTCATTTATCAGGTAGTGATAACTTTTTAATCTTTTGTTGGTGATTGAACTGTTTTCCTGTTAGTCAATCATTTTTACCTTTGGTTTCTGTTAATAATAAATGCAATTTATCTTATGTTTCAATATTTTTGTTTGCTCTAGAGCAATTTAAATCCAATTAAAATGACCACAGAGAATGACAATTTATGACATGAACAGGAAAAAAAAAAGACTGTTTAATTATACCACGTTTCATTAGTTACATTTGTAATCCCTGTTACAAATTATTTTAACAACTGTTCCTATAAGGAGAGACATATTATTGTGATAAAATATGCTATCTGAGTGATAATTTTGCAGATTATGGATTGTAGAAAGTATAGATATTTGACTCAGAAAGTCCGCCATATGTATGCTTACTCACTCATTCACTCATGAAAAACAAAATAATTTTTTGCTTTGTTTTTTAATGTGGACAGTATATTGGGCAGTATGAGTTTAATATAGAAAATTCAATCATTACCTTTTAGAGAATAGCTTTTCATTTGGAAATATGAACACTGAAAGCCAAATTCATTTTCCTTTGATTTACCATGTTGGGAGAATGGATTATTGTTTTGTACTTTTTCTCATCTAGATTTGTCTCTGCTTTGTATGTAGGTAATCCATACTTCATATTTGAAAGCTCAAGCCTGTATAAGATTATTTACTTATTTATTTGTTAGAGATTCATATGCCAACTTCTTTATAGAAGCTCAAGGCAGAATATACAATATTCCTCTTTATATTCCCAACAGCAACTTTATGAGGTAGGATATTCAGAGAGTCATAACTGGCCCAGTGTCAAGCAGTGACCACAATTGAACCACAATTCTAGCTACTACACCCTAGTATCAATCCCATATTGGCTAGTACTGAATATTATTTGCTTTTCCTGAAGTTTGTACCACTAGTTTAAAATATAACATAAAGAATTTCACATAATAATGACTTCATTTCATTTAACTCTTATTTACTAGAATTTTATGGAACTACTAGAATATAAATGTAAACTAGAGTAATTTTACAGACATAAAACTGTAATAAAAGTCAAAAGAAATTAACAAAGTAATACTAATCTGTACCAATGTCTGAAACAGGGTTTACATAACATTATATTAAATAGTTTTGAAATTATATCAGTGAAACATGCTTTCTCTCCCTGCTCCATCACTGAAGCATAAAAAACCCTAAAATACATGTATACCTGTAATTTTGTTCTTTGTTTATTTGCAAAACAATATTAAAATGCTGTTTAGATTGTGCAGTATTGATGCTTGCTTTAGCTGTTTAGGCAGGGTTTATATATGGAGTATTATATCTAGAATTTTACATCAAAAGAAATTTTTTTAAAAAATCCCCTCTCACCCCTATGGGTGGTGTGTGTCTTCCTCAGCCTCAGGTCCTCTGCCAGAGGCCTGGGAGTTTGAGGGTTC